ATGTTCACAGAAAATTGCCGAGAGTCATTCCGTACTCCAGTATGGGGACGCAGCTTCTTTCGATGGATCTATGAGAAGACGAAAATGCCGCTGTGTCCGATTTATGGCGGTTTTCCTGTCAAGATGATCACTCATCTTGGCAAACCCATGACATTTGACTATGATAATGTCACACCAGAAGAGGTCCAGCAAATTTTCAATGGATATTTTCTTCATGTTTGCTGATGTAACAAGTCTATTTTGAGTGATTGACAGGTACGCCGGCAAATCAAACGAGAAGTACGTGCGTTGATACGGAAGCATCAACGTCTTCCTGGTAGCATTATTCGAGGTATCGCGCAGCGATTCCGACCGAAAAAATCTCCACAGCGTGAGGTGCTGCCAGAGCAGATTGTGAGTGACAGCCATTGGTGATGTAACTGTTATTGGATTTTTGTTTAGTTTGTTTTCGGCACTTGCCTTTGCCTTTGCACTTCCCCTTCTCTATTTATCCTGTGTGCAGCTACGGTTCACCTTGGATTTTTCCTTTATATTTTTTTGCAATGTATCGAGCAAAAGTGTATTCATTCGTAGATCCTCAGCCTAATTCCAGTGCGGTGAGATAGACTTTTGATCAAAAATTCAGTAATGTGGCAAGCTGCTTTCATTAACTGGAAGAATGCTGTGAAATGCGATCAACGTAAACCTTGAGTTAATTAGGAGTTAAAGGACTTAAATCACTTTTACAGGCTAATGAAGCATGCAATCAGCTGTTCTCCTCGTGGAGACAGTGTCAGAAAAATTCATTAGATAGCGCAAGGTTCATGTATTTTTTTAGCAAAAAAAAATTGTTCGTACGAAATAAAGCTGGTACTAGCATAAACGTAGGTTCAGCGAATATGCAGGACGCGCAAATACAATCGTACCTTAATATCGGCGCAGCGACCCTCAATACTCGTACCTTAATATCTGCGCAGCTTGCATTTCTTTAGATTTTGCGATTTCCCCTGATCACAAGGGACGCGTTTTTCTTTCATTAGGCCAAATCGATGAAGAGGCGAGATCATCTGCACCATTTGCAGAAGCAGCTGTGACTAAGGTGACTGCAGTAACCTTTTCGGTTCGACTCTGTCTTCCGATGCAGGGTTCGAGCGCCGCCCAGGTGGGCTTTATCCTTAAGATTTTAACCTCTCGCAGCTAACCTATGGGTTCACTGTAATCTCGACGTTTGTTAGATCAGATAGGTTGGAAGGAATATGAAATACGGAACGTGGGACGAGGAAGTGTGCTGAAAAGGTTGAAGTGTGTGCTTTCCGAATTTGCACTGGACCCCCATTATAGCAAGTAGTCACTTCAAAAGCACGGTACTTTTGTCAAATTTTTCCAAAATTTCTATTTCCTGGCATCTTTCTCCAAATTCACAAGCGACACGCCGTGCCCTTGTGTTAGTCCTTAGAAACACTATCACTTCCGTGAATCTTATCGTGCTGTTTTCATACCTAATTTTCAACTCTGGGTTTTCGCAACCATACTCCCTCATTGTCGGAAGAACACATGTTGCAGCAATTGGTAGTGTCAGTCCCCACTTAATCTCTCAAATTGACCCATGTTGTAGATCCTCGCCATTTTCATCGTGTCACAAATATGTGCTCGAGGACCCATTAATGGATATGCTTTTGCTCGATGTTGAAAATTTCCTCAATTGTGCATGTTGCGAGTGGCTGTAAAATGTTGCCTAGATCGCTTTTTCAACCAATCCTTCATCAGTGGTAAGTCCCATAGAAATTCAACGCCTGGTGCTAACGCATACTGTGTTCATTTTCAATGTGGGATTGAAATAATAGTGGTGATGCTTGTGGTGGCTTTTGGGTTGGAGTCTTTACTTTGTTTCAGCAACCTTGCATGTTGTAATTACAGGCGGTAGTTCATGTGGTGATAGGCTCGGGTACCCGACAGTAACCGTCGCCGCACGGTAAGTTCCCTGTCAGGCACCCGTTCGCCATGGAAAAAAAATCGAAGTGTTGTCCGCCTTTTCAGT